AAAATCGTTATGGAGTTATTAAAAAGTCAAGATATTCGTTACACAATTCAATGTCAGTTTTTTTATAGTTCTAATGAATTTGGTCTGCCGATCAACGATCATGCAGATCCGGGATATCAAACTTATTAAAATTTAAAATTGCCCATTTTTTAAAAAATATTTCAAATTAAAAATTATATTAATATTGGTATTAAATTAAAAAAAACATCCGTTTTCAGATTTTTAGAAATATAATAATAATAAATCATTTTTTAATAATGACCATTATAGACTTTTGATTTACATTATATTGCCAATTTGCATTGGAAAACAATTTTTCCTAAATAGTAAAAGTATATATAATATATTGTAAAGGTCACACGAATAAAAGTTTGTGGATGAGGTTTAGTTGCTTTTGCTTTTGATAATTTTTTGAATTTGTGCTGGAGTAAACTATTTATTATTTTAAGAGAAAATTTTTACATTTTTGAAAAAAACAAATTCCTATATCTACAAAGCTGCATGATTTCATGTGATTTTGTACAAAATCATTTTTTTAAATTTATATATGTCGAGTTTCTATCGTTGATCGGCGGACCACAAATTAAAAAAGTTTAAACGAACGATTTTTTAAATTAACAGATCATACTAATACTATATTAAAAAAGATAAAGGGATCAATTGTTTTTATTTACGACTTTTTTTAATATGGAAAAAGCAAGTATTTTAAAAACAATAATTATCAAAAATAGTATTTTATTATTATATCGACATTTTAATCAGCCGACGAAACGCACGATGATGAAATGCATTTTAATATTAGGGATTATTATTGGCAAAAAAAAAAAGTGAAAAAAAGAAACTAAAAAGGAATTTAAATTACTATATATAGATCATTTATTTATTTTTAAAAAAAAGATTTAGTAAACTCAAATGATAAACTTCTTATAGAGTGGTAAAATCTTATTTCTTTATTTTATTCATGAAAAGAGTTTCATGTAAATGGTTTAGAGCTCGGCCCAAAAGACTTTCAAAACTATTTTTATACGCAGTTTCACCCTGTTATAAAGTTCATTTGCGTTACGATGTTATCTGTGTAACTTAATTCGTGTGCGTACGTTAATTGGATATTTATCCAATCTTCGAAAAAGAAAAGAAATTGTTTATTTTTAAACCCATTTTTTTTTTGCTTTTTTATGGGAGATGATTGAATATTATGAGCACGAATCAACCAGTATACCATTATTATTCCTAAAGCTTGATATAATCTCTTTTACACCTTCTTGTTCTAATTCGATGTCATTATTATCTTCTATCATTTGAAATTTAAATTATTTTCAACTATAGAATAAGTTGGAGGCTATGAGATGCAGATTAAATCTTCCATTAGATGAGTTAGTACAGAAGCTAAGCAATATAGAGTCACCCAGTGAAATGTAATATATAAAGGTCTTACTGCTTAAAGGAGATAAAGAAGTGGAAAATTATTTATGCTATTTTTTTTGGTCATAATTTTCGAATAATACTGCTTTTTATAATAAAAGCCTTTGTATTTATGTTCTACATTTCTTGATGTAATGCTATTAAAACAGCTTTTGTGGATCTCTCTAAAACTTATTAACCAACACTCTCCCATAAATAATAATACGAAATACTAGAGTATTTTACACTTAGCAGCCCATCAAATTCATAAATTCATTGTAGAATTCTTTCAATATAAGAATATATTTAGCTTAAATAACACAAATTAAAAATTAAAAATATACATCATACAACAATCTGGATATATTTGTAAGTCCGAACACGGGTTTTTTGTTCATTCTTAACTCAATGAATTATTCATTAATACAGTAATAATAATTAAAATATATGGGCATAGGATGGGTTAGAAGGATCAACAATGAAATTACCACATTCTTTTAATGCAGGAATAGAAAACTGGTCATCATCAAATAAAGCAGAAACCATATCAATATTAACAACATTACTTGTAGTTCTTTCAAATAGCAATGTAATCATTTATATAGATAGCAAAACATCAATTGATTGCTTAGGTTTTTCAATGTATTTATGTGCCAGTAACACATAAATACAAAATCAAAAAATAATTATAAAAAAATGTAAAAAATACATAACAGAAAAAATCAAATCATTGGAACGGTATAACAATAAAGATCATAATATAAATAATATACTGTCAGACATTTGCTGGGATCCATATTATGATGAACAAAAAA